AACGAAACAGTAACTTATATCAAAAACTTGAATACAGGAAATACACCAAGACTGCCAAAAAAGCAAGAAAAAAACCTAAAAGTGTGCAACTAAATTATGCTTATTGTAAAATTATTGTGCAATATTTGCTTATAAGTGCTTTAAATTTCTGAAGAAAATTGAACAAAATCTCTTCAGATATTCTCAACAATGAACCGTTAGCATTTTTTATTTCTACTCTTCTTTATTTCAGTTTCTTTTTCAACCATTCCCTTACGTTTGATAAAATTAACTATATTTTTAAAGTTGTTCCTATTAACAAATTAATGTGGATAACGTAAAAAGCAAAACAAGAACATACTCACACACTCGGAAAACGGGCAATATCTGTCACCGACCATTAGGCAACTACTAACTTTAAGTACTTATTACTTCTTTATATTGTTTATTGAGCCTTATTAGAACATTGAACACTCATACGCAAATTATTGACTGGGAACAACAACAACAACAACAACACCAATACCAACACCAACAGCAACAAACAGCAGCAGCAACAGCAGCAGCAACAGCAGCAACAACAACAACAACAGCAGAAAATCAGATCACTGTTTGATAATCCGAGATCTAACCTAAGCGAAATTTGAATAGCATAAAACAAGTGCAATTTTACGGCAGCAAAAAATATATATATCACGAGAAGATTGTTTATTAAGCAAAAAGAAAAAAAAAGTTAAAAAATAAAATTAGAATGTTGTAAAAGTGCAGAAAAAAAATAATTTTTTGTTTATTTGTTTATTTATTTTTCAAACAGAATATGTAAATAATCAAATTTTCCTGACCATAGATAATTTTCAAACGAAATTTAATTGAGAACTGCAAAAAAAAAAAAAAGTTCAATGGAAACTACACGAAAATGGTGAAAATGTAACCGGGGTGGTGCGGTGCATTTGTGCCGCAGCCACCACCACTGCCATCGTCGTTGCCCTTCCCAGTTGCAATAGGACATCCTCGGTTTACCCGTAATGCTTTTGTCCTAATTAAGCTTACGGGATTATGTTCCGTAATACTGCTGTTGTTGTTTTTGTTTCTCTTGTTGATGCTGCTGCTCCTGTTGTTTTTCCAGCTGATATGGCAAGAAATCAGATGCCTATAGGCAACGAGAATTTGTTGATTTGGAAAACGAAAAAAAAAAACAGATACAGGAAAAGAAAAAGCAAGAACTACAAAAACAGCAACAGCGAAAACGAATAAGACTAGCAATAGCCCACTTTAATAACAGTTAAAGCAATAAAGGAAAGCAAAAGCGACAAGAATAAAAAGAGTAAAAGAAAAAATTGAAAATAATAAGTAGCTGAAGTAAAGAAAAAAACTGTGTAACTTTTCAGTCATCAATAAAAGTCAGCTTCATTTTTTTGCTGTTTTTGCCGTCGTCGTTGTCGTTTCAAAAATTTTCCTCAATGCACTTATGGTTTTTGTTAGTTGGCCAACTAACTAACCAAGTTGCCAATTGAAATGTCCACAATAAGCACTGAATTGAAATGCTCAAGTTTTTTTTTGTCTGCTTCTTCTTTCTACACTTGAACAACAAGAACAACAACAGCAATAACAACATTAATAATCAATATTGTTCTTCTACAGGTTGCACCATAAATTTTTGGAAGAAAAGAGACATAATATCTCGTCAAAAAAAAAAAAAAAATTGAATTGTTGTTTTCTCTGCTTTCATCCAATTAATCATAAGTGATACAGACAAGTTTAAATTATATTACATCAAACAAAATCTACAACCAATATGCTGAGAAGACTGATCTGAAATAAAAAATACTGTTCGTTTAGGTAAAATAAATTACAAAAAAAAGTCTTTTAGGAACGTTATCCTTTTGCCTAACAAAGCAGTAATTTACGAATTGTAGTTTGCAACCAATTTATTCC